ATGGCATAAACCTCACACCGTCCTTTTTTTGGTACAGCATACAGGGACCTTCAGGTTTATGGATCCACAGGGAACTGACTAATCTGGAATCGAGCCGGGTAGGACCACAAGGGCGGCAAAGCTCTTTCTCAAGAGTTTTAACACTGCTGCATTCCCAGGACTCAAACACGAGACCACTGGTTACGTCCTTAAGTATATTGATTAAAGCGTGTGCACTTTTGCAATAAGTCAACGCGGGAGAAAATCGCTACACCCTACACACGATTTATAGAACCTCCCTTTCCAAAAAACCTCCCAAAATATATTCACAATCACTTCAAATCCAAAAAATGCCGTCTAATCTCATAATCGGTTCATCCATCGCGAACTCCGGTGATTTGCCGCAGCTGAGGGCTTACTACGCAGATCAGTGGGAGAATTTCACCGGCGGCGGAACCAGCGAGATCGAGGAGGAGCCGGCGGAGTCTGCGGCGGTCGATCGGGTGTTGGTATCGAACCGCCGAGAATTGAAAATCCCCCTGCCGGCGATTAGGGAGGCGGCGGAGGAAGAGAGGCCGTCAGCGGCGTCGATCGATTTCGGGGCGGGAGGGGAGGACGCCGTGTACGTGGCGGTGGGGAGGCACGGCGGCAGCGGCGGCGACGAGGAGGCTAGCATGGGCGCCGTGATCTGGGCGATTAAAAATGAGGCGTTTGGTCCGTCGTCGGTTGTTTTTCTCGTTCACGTTTTTCCGGAGGCCAAGTTTGTACCCACGCCATGTGAGTGAACCTCTCTCTCTCACACACACTCGTACTTTCATTTGTCGTTTTGCTTTTCGCTTTTGTCTTTCCTTCACACTTTTGATATTAGCGTATTACTCAATAAAAATGCATATTTTATGTTTTTTTTTTATTAGTATGATATTTTATTTTTAGAAAAATGCTACGACGGAACAATTTTGTTGAAATTTGCAACAGTTAGTCATCATGTAACCGTCGATTAGATAATTAATCTAACAATTAAAAACTCTGACAGAATGGTTCCGTAACGAGACTTTACCATTTCCCTTATTTTTAAGCTATGGATAGTTGTTGAAAATGTCCGATTTTTTTAATTGTTTGGTCTGATTATATTTTTTTTATATAATATTTCTTTGGCACTTTTGCTTTGTGTGGAAATTTTCCTGTAGGCTGCTTTTTTTTCAGGTTCTATGTGCTCAATTTCAACGTTCAACTTAATTTAATATGCTAGAATGTCACTATATTCCATCTGTAAAATAACTTGGAATTGACGAAAATAGGATGAAAAAAGGGACAAAATGACATAATATTCACGTTTTACCTAAAAATTGTCAAAAGTTTAGGTGATCAAATATTTTTGTCCATAAAATAGCATAATTTTTGTCATACACTAGAACAATAAAATATATAAAAAATTAACTTTTTTTTTAAAGAAATAACGATTTCGTTGCATAATATATAAGTTCTTTATTTAAAACAGATAGTTTTGAGGCATAATTAATTCTTTTAATTGATTTTAACTCATTATACTTAAAAAACAATAAATATAAAAAATGAAAGATGCTACGGTATCGTTACGAACCCATTCCGTCGGAAAGATCAACTATATCTGACGGTTACATGATGATCTAACGGTTTACAAATTCCGACGGAATGTTTCAATAACCAAACCTTAGAATTTCCTATAAAAAAACATATGATATTACTAAGATAGGTAAGCATTTTTTAAGAAAACTAAAGAAAAAAGTAAATATGATAAGACGGCCTCTCTAAGGTTAGACCGTCTCATGCAAGAATTCATATTCAACTTTCCCATTTTATTATTTAATATTAATTATTGAACTGTTATCAGCTTCGTTTTTTCATGGTAGTGGGAAACTTACCAATTAACCAAGTGAACGAAGAGCAGAGAGAGCTGTATTTGGCCAAAGAAAGAGGCAAGAGAAGAGAATTTCTTAATAAATTCCTCAATGTCTGTTCTGCTTCTAAGGTAGCTACTACTTCAATAATGCTACTCTATCTACGGTGGGCACATGTTAATATGTCCACCACTTACGTGGTATGCACACATTTGTGTGATGTTAATACGTTCAAAAAAATACACCACCAATGTGCACATGCCACATAAGCGGCAGACATATTAACATGTGCCCACGGGGTTGGGTAGGGGAGCATTACTGGCTACTACTCTACATAACCTACAAATGCTCAATTAGCTCTTAATAATTTTTTATGTATCCTCAATAATTTGGGGAGATTTTTTTTTTATTTAAAAAAATAAAAATAAAATAAAAATACAGGCTAATTATATGCCCTCTTAATGAACTGAAAATGTGAAGGTTCAAGTGGACACAATACTAATAGAGAGTGAGATGGAGGCAAAAGCTATACTTGACCTCATTCCCATTCTCAACATTAGAAGGCTTATTCTTGGTGCCACCAAGTCAACTGTAAGGTACAATATTCAAATTCACCAAAATCTACCTTTTGAAATTTTGTTTAAATATTTTTTTTTTTTTTTTTTTTTTTTTTGAAATTTACAAATTCCCCATTGAAGTGTGTAATTGCCATGCAAGCTATGCTCCCTTGTGGAAGTGCATATGTCAAAGAGCAATTTCTATACACGATATGACTACAGTTAGTCAGACCTATCAGTTAGACAACCATACTTTTTGAACAGATATGTATACATTCAAACTGAAGAACTGATATTGATTTCAATCTGCCTCACTTTATAAGTGAAATTGGCACGTTTTACAAATACAAAATGAACCCATTTGGGTCGACTAACAACACCTTTTGTCGATTGACTTGGTAAATTTTGGATCGATTCTTCATAGGAGGATGAGGTCAAGGAAAGGCAACAGGGTGGCCGATCAGATACGACAGGGTGCACCGGAGTATTGTGAGGTGAAGATCATATGCGACGGAAAGGAGATAACCGAGCTAGCAACAGGATCAACTTCTTCTTCAACTTCGCCGTCACCAAGGTCAACAAGAGATTCCATTTCCAGTCCAAAATTCGGCCGAGGGCAAGAGAAAATGGAACTTGACTCGGCTTCTTGTGGGTGTTTTAAATTGTGATGATTCCCAAATGGGACTTGTATGCTTCAAGGCTTTTTGTATGAATTGATTTTGTGTGAGGGGACTTTGTAAGCTTGATTTTTTGTTTAGGAAAAAAGATAAAGAAATGTTGGCACCATTGTAGTGTTTCATATGATGTTACAATACATGCACATGTTCTGTATAGACTTTAGTGGTGAAGTTTGATAGGTTGTATGATGATGTGAGTAATTTACTTATTGTTTATTTTGTCTTTAGGAAGGAGATTGTTTATGGTACTATATTAAATTAATTCATCATTTATTGTATGATACAAATGCATAATATCATACAAAGAAATTCAAAAAATATTTCATCTTAGACAACTATTTAATCATTGACTTTTATTAATCAGGATATTCAAATGAAAAATAGTACGAATATGAAATCAAAATGTATACATAAAATTTCCAGTTAAATATATATTAAAATATCTTATTATTAGTGTAAAAAAAAAAAAAAAAGTTGATGTAGACAAATAGATCGATTCTATATATGTGAGGTAAAGGTGATGATCAGATTTTCATCATCGCACAAGGCCCGATAATCCATACCCTAGAGTCTACAACTATCAAGCCTGGTTGGAATTTAAAAGTAGGCCCAAGTCGTAACCATTAATCGAGACAGAATATCATCTTCTGTAATCAACAAGCGGGGATAGCTCAGTTGGGAGAGCGTCAGACTGAAGATCTGAAGGTCGCGTGTTCGATCCACGCTCACCGCAAAACTGCATTTATAGTTCCATTTTTCAATTCTCATTTATTCAGTACTTCATATCCATATTTTTTAATTTTGTTAATTTTTTTTGTTTAATATACCATTCCTCATTAGTTTATATCCAGATTTATTAAATATGTACCTACGAGCCATATGAATACTGCTCTCAATTGGTATTGCTTTAGTGAGAGTAGTACCAAATTACCAATACCAACAAACTTATATATTTTCCATCTTTTCAAAAAAAAAAA